TCCTATCCCTGCCTGTGGTTTGCCAGTTCATTCTTTTAACAGTATGAGAACATGAAGTTTTTAATTTTGATGGAGTCCAATTTGTCAATATTTTCTTCTGTTATGCCTAAGAAATTTTTGCCCACCTCAGGGTCATGAAGATATTCTCCTGTGTTTTCTTCTGCAAGCTTTATTGTTCTACCTTTAGCAATTAGGTCTAAGGTCTGTTTTGAATTAACTTTTGTGAATTGTGTGAAGTAAATTTCATTTTTTCTTTACAGATATCCAGTTGCTTCTGCAACATTTATTGCGTAGATCAATTCTTTCAAAAGCCTCACAGAATTGCAGTGATGTTTTAGTGCTTTGACATAAATCAAGTGACTATATATGTGTGGCTCTGTTTCTAGATTTTTTATCTATACTTGTGCACTTCCACAGTGTCTTGAATACTGTAGCTCTATAATAAATCTTAAAATCTGGTAGTATACATTCTTCAACTTAATCTTTTTTAAGATTCTACATCGTTTCCATATAAATTTTGGAATCAACTTGTCAATTTCCACAAAAAAAACTCACTAGGAGTTTGATTGCTACTTTATTAAATCTGTGGATTTGGGTAGAATTTACTGAACAGTAATGTGTCTTCCAGTCTATGAAGATGGAATATATCTCCATTTATTTAGATTTTAGTCTTACATTCTTCAGCAGTGTTTTGCTGTTTTTAGAGTGTAGGTCTTAGAAATTTTGTTGAATTAATCCTTGTATTTCATGTTGTTTGATGTGATTATCAGTGGTATTTTGTTAAATTTCACTTTTAATTGCTTGTTGCTAATACATAGAAGTATAATTGAGATTTTGTATGTTAACCTTGTATTCATGACCTTCTTACATTCACTTGGTAATTCTAATAATTTATTTATAGAATCTTTTGAATTGGATTTTCTACATGGACAGTTGTCAACCACAAATAATGACAGTTTTACTTCACACCTACCAATCTTTGTATTTTCATTTCTTTTTCTTGCTTTATTACACTCTCTGGGAACTACAATACCAGATAGAAGTGGTGATAGTAGGTAGCCTACTATTAATGAGAAAATTGCTGTGTCAGTATGATATTGGAGATATTCTGGGGGTTTCAGTTAAGTGTTGATGGGATTTTCTCTTGATATATTTCATGATTTGCTATTGTTTTAATTTGAACTTTTGGTAGTTGGTGTTTGTCAGGTTGATTGGTATTAGTTTTAAATGTATTGAATGTCAAGATTTTGGCATCACCTCGTTCATTTGTTCTCAACTGGGGACATTTTTCCTCCCCAGGGGACATTCAGCAATGTCTGGAGACATTTTTGGATGTCACAGCTGGGGGAAGAAGAGTGCTACTGGCATCTAGTGGGTAGAGGCCATGGATACGGCTAAACATCCCACAGGTATAGGACAGATCCCCCCACATAAAGCATTTTTCAGTTAAAAAATGACAGAAGTGTTGAGAGTGAAAAGACCTGATCTGATTCAGTTTCTTCATTTGATAAGAAACCGGGGCCCACAAATGTGAAGTGATTTGTTGTTACCTATTTTAAGTAGCACAGACACTACACTTCCTATATTTATGAATAAAAATAATTGTCATTACTGTCAGATAGATAGCATGAAAAAGTTTGCATATATCATCTCTATTCCCCAAGAAGGTAAGCGTTATTCCGCATTTTACGGATCAGGACACTAAGGCATACAGTGCTTCATGCATTAATTAACTTACCCGATAAATATTTAGTGAAAGGTACCAGGGTTTGTTTTTGGTTTTGTTTTGGATTTTTTTTTTTGGAAGTAAGAAATACAGTGATGAGTAAAACTAATGGGCATAGTGGAGATTGTAAGCTAGTGAGGAAGACAAACCAAACACAGTTGAGTAAGGATTATAAACTATAGGAAGTGATATAAAGGAAAAAGGGGATGAGATAGAGATGAAATGTGAGGAGGAAGTCCACTTTGCAGGGAGATTGGGAATGGCTCTTTGATGTGCTGACATTCAAGCTGAGACCTGACAAGTGAGCAGAAGATAGCTGTGTGCAAAGTATGGGGCTCTGTTTCAGGAGGAGGGAACACCAGGTGTGGGGGCTGAAGCAGGAAAGACTGTGTACATTTTTTGGTACATAGTCAGTGACGGGGAAGGTGACTTGAGATTGGAGATGCTGACAGTGGCCAGGTAAGGCCAGGCCTTACAAGCTTCGGTAAGGACTTTGGGTTTTATACTCTTTGCAATGAGAGGTTCTTGAAAGGTTTTAAGCAGGGGAGGGACACGATCCCATCTGTACTTTTAAAACTCCCCGTATTGCATGTACGATGGGTTGGAATAACAGGGGAAGAGTAGAAAGCAGAAAGATGAGTTAAGACTATTGCAGAGGTTCGCCAGAAGGAGTAAGACCATTTTGAGAAAGTTTTGTTTTTGTTTTGGACTTGGAAGTGACTGGATTTACTAATAATAGGGATGTGGAAGGGTGAGGGAAAGTGAGAAATCAAGGATGATTACTAGTTTCTGACTTGAGCAATGGGGCCAATTTACTGAGTTGGGAAAGATTGGGGGAGGGTCGTTTTGGGGGGGTGGGAAGAAAAGGACTCAATCGTTCGATATCAGGCATATTAGGTTTCTTACTTAAGCTGCCGTGTAATTTCATTTCCACATTCTCCATCTTCAGCAGAAATGGTGAAAAGTTGATCATTTTTCCTAAAAAAGTGAGTTTATTTGGAAGAGTGCTGGATTGGTTTTCTGGAGTTCTGGGTTCCCGCTCTCCTTGGTCTTGGCCAGCATCACAAGGTGATCTTCTCTTCTGTAAAATGGGCGTGTTGGACTTGGTATTCTTTATGGTCGCTTTCAGTAACGTACTGTGACTCTGAATTTAAGTCATCCCCTTAGCTTTTCTCTCACTGCTCTGCCTAACATTTTTATAATGTGGTCCAGCTCCCTGGCTAGGACTTTTTATAGTTTTTTCCTTTGCCTACATGGAATTTATAGCCATGGATTTTTGCATCAGGCCTTCTTTATGCCTTTTTTTCTTGTATCGTGCACCTCAGTGGGCTTATAGTTAAATAGAGACAGAAGATTCTCAGATTTCTTCCCGATACATTACTTCCGGTAACAAAACAACCAACTTTTTTTTGCCCTGTCTAGGAAGTGTGAAAACAGTCCCAAGTATTGGGGTGTCTATTTTCTTACATTTTGAAAATGTTTATACAAAAATATTTTAATCTGCGTCCTTGAAAATATTTACCTTTCAATCTATCCTGAACATGCCTTGGCTCTTCAAAGAGTCAGTAAAGCTTATGCTGAACGTAGAAGAATGACAGAAGCAAGAACCACTTCCCTGAGAGATGCCTGTCTTCTCCAAGCTCCTGAAGAACCAGTTCCCATTTAGAGAAATGTAGAGGAACCCACAGTTTCAGCCCTTCCAGAGAAGGCACGGGAATTAAGTACACACGTCAATCGAGCTGATAAGTCTCATCCCCAGTTAATATATAATAAAATATTAACAAAGCTAAGTCAGATGAGTTTTTAGTTTAGCTGTGTAAGTGGAGAGCAATTTCGAGGTCTGTTGCATAAAGAATTCCAGTTCCATGGTAGAGTAGCAAGTAAATGGGATTGGGGGCAGAGTGACAAGAGGGGAGATAGATAAACCACCCGTTATTATCTCGTTGCTATCAGCTGTGGTTCTTTAAGGCCAACATAGTGGCCTTATCAGGTTTCCTAACAGTTGGATTTTAAGATCTACTTTAAGAAATAAATTTGTATTACTATTAGTGAATAAATTTGAAGGATCCGTCCTGTGCTGTGAGCAATTCGTAGTAACTAACAATAAGGCCCTGTAATAGTCCGGTATTGGTTTTTACTTAATAAAATATTTAATCATAAATGTCTGAATCCTGCATTTCCCACAGGAAGGCATTTCCATGCCCACTGACAAGAATAATTTAGCAGTTTCATAGTTGAGCACTTAATTACTCATAATTGTGAAGGGTGAGATGTGATGAATTCTTCCTCGATGGACATACTAGATATTTAACTAAGTAGATGGCTTAAATTAAGCTAAGTGAGATCATTTATTACATTGGTTAAAAGCAGTTTAAGAAGAATATCATGTCCTGCATTCGATTAGATGATATGTGTGTGACTCTCTCTGCTGTGTGACTTACAGGCTGCACTGTTGGGATGGTTGGCAGATGTTTTTGGATGGGGGTTGGTGGGGTTTTTTTTAGATTTGTTATGTTTTGCCTGAGTAAGTAATGAGGATCCTTGACTATATGTAGAGTTTAGTTCTCTAACAAGAAAACTCTTTATGCCCTTTCGGTTGGTATGAGAGTATTTGTCCTACATCAGGAAGAAGGAAAGGACTTGACAGTATAGGCTCACCCTTAAGCCTTAGTGCTGTGTCCTTCAGGGAAGACAGCCTGATTTGCAAAGTAACGCCCGAAGCAGTCAAAAGGTAAAATGAAGAGGAAAAGATACAAGCAGAAAGTATTTGTAAAATGGTCTATGAAATTTCTGAATTCGAAAGAATCATATTTTGGAGCAGAGGAAAGAGGAAACCAGGTATTTTAGGAGCTAGCTGAACATGTCACTGCAGCATCAGTTGAGTCGTGTTGTAAAAGGCTCAGGAGCCTCCTGCTTACCATTAGGGAGGTTGAAACAACTTGTCTTATTAAGTTAAGCTTCTTCCCTCAAGTGTCTTATTTAGCTTTACTTCCCTTAATTCTCTTTCCATGGTGATTTGGGTAAAATGTCTGAAACCACTAAAGGTAAAAGGTTGAAGCAATCACAAATTTAATCTATCACCTTTCTTTAGTGTATCTGAGTGTAATTCTCAGCAGTTCCTAGCGAATTCATTAGAAGACAGCAAGTCATTAAAAGTTAATAAGAAACTATTCGTTTCTGTGAGTGTGAATAAAACCACTTTGTAAGTCTGACATTCTTTTCCAGTCATAGAAACCTTGCTTTTAGCCAGTTTCCATTTTCTCTGTCTCTCTAGGTTGCTCCTGGATGGGGCACCTCTGATAGCAATCCACAAAGCCAGGTATTACAAGAGGCAAGATGGCTTAGCCCTGGGGCCCGGACCATTTGTGACTGCTTTAGAGCATGCCACAGATACCAAAGCCACAGTCGTGGGGAAACCAGAGAAAACGTTCTTTTTGGAGGCATTGCGGAGCACTGGCTGTGAACCTGAGGAGGCCATCATGATTGGAGATGTAAGTAGAAGAGCCCAGGAAATGCCCTGGGCTTACCTGTCATGCTGGGAGGAGCCAACTTCAAAGCACTGCTTTGAGACACAAGCAGGCTCTTATTGGTGATATCAGATGGTAGTAAGAGGCTACCCATAAAACAGGCTTTCCAGTAGTTGTTTACTGGTATTCTAAAGAACTGAAATATTGATTATTTCTGACATTCTTCATAGTGTGATGAGATATATACAATTCAAAAGACCATCAACTGCAAGGCAATTAAATGCTTTATGTGTCTTTTTGAAGAAAACTTCTACATAGATTTAGACTTTTTTGACTATTCCTTAATGCAAAGAACACCTATACCCAAAGAATTCTCCCATTATTGATTTTTTTGCTAGTATATGCTTTATGGAAGAACTTCCCAGTCTGCCACAAATAGCTAAAGATATCGATTGCCTCAGGCCTAGGAGTGGCAGGGCTGAACCTGGACAATCGGGGGCCCTACCCAGTGGGCCCTCCCTTTCCTTGTTCACTTTTTCCCTCCTCCCTTCCTCCTGTCCCTCTCCCCCATCTCCCCTGCTTCAACAAGGCAAGTTTAGATGCACAGAAAAGGTTTTAAGTTAGACCTTAAATGAAGATTTTGACATTTTAAGACTCATTTCCAAGGGCTGTTGTTGAATAATATGAATGATTTTTAAGGAAAAAACTTTTCTTTGGGTGTGATCTGAATGAATCCTGCTTATACACATGAGATGGTAGGATTGATTTTATTGATGATGTTTCTTCCAGTTTTTGGATTTTTATTACCTTGCATTTGTCATCACAATTAGCCAAGTATATTTACCCCTATCTTGATTAAGAATTTGAAAACAGAAGCTTCCCTTTGAAACTGATCTGTTATTCCTAAGTGTGAAGTGAATATCAGACAGTCTCAGAATCTGTTTAAGTACACTGATCTGATTTGATTCCCCGTTAGGGACGATTGGATGGAAAGTAAGGATAATGTTACGTGGACAGCACAAGAGCTGTCTTCTGAACCTAGTTCATTCACTGTCCTGCAGTTGGATCATTTACCTTAAAAGCTGCCAAATGATAGAATACTTTTTTCCATGATCTGTTTTAAAAGGAAATAGATGTACATGTGGCAAAACATGAAGCACTGTAACTGCTTTTTATGTTTGGTTACTAGGATTACTACTCTGTTTTTTACCTCTACCTCTATTACGCTTCCCTTTTCCAGTGGTATGCTCCTTCAGACACGGGTTTATCCTTTTTTACACCTCCTTCTCTTTCATTTTAAGGAAAAAAACATGGGATTACAGTTGGCCATCCTGTCCTAATAAATCAGATCAATTGGTCAGTTTTGTTGGCAGGCTCACTGATGACACTGGACTAAATGCTTCGTTATGCTTTTCTAGGATTGCAGGGATGATGTTGGTGGGGCTCAGAATATCGGCATGCTGGGCATCTTAGTCAAAACCGGTATGTATCTTCAGTATAATATTTTGTTTCTCTAAAACAATGGTAGAATACACAACTGCTTAAAGAACAGTCTTTGAAGAAATGGCAAAGCCCACTGAGCACTTTAATTCTCTTTCTGCCACAAAGCAAAAATAAAATGGGCTTAGGATTGCAGGGAAAAAAGACAATGTGAAAGGGCCCATGCTCTGCAAAGCTAGGAAGATCAGATCAGAGTTCAGAGGTATTTTAACAGTTACACAGAGATAACCATACACAATTGACCATTAGCATTTGTATGATTTTCTGGATATGCAAATCACCAAAGTTGACCAAAAGACCATTGATAGTGGGGCTCTGTAAAAATATGTTTTCTTTTTGCACCAGCTATAAGATGTTTATCTTTTTAGCGACTGGCTAGCTAAGTGATATGATACTTTGTGTTAATGTTTACATTTTTTAAAAAAACACACAAAAAACTTTTGTCTTTTCACTTACTGTTTTAGTAACAATTTCCTGTACCAAAATTAGGTAAACCGGGTGTGGTCCCTCAAATAAATTTAAGGAAAGGGAAAGAACCTAATGGAGGAGACTCAGCTAATACGGTATCATGGCAACAGTGGACCAGTTAGTGTCCTGGGTCTTGGTCTCAGCTCTACACTGACTGTGAGACTCTGGGCAAGGCCCTTCACCTCTTTGGGCCATTTACGGATGATGGGGCTGGACTGGACCCTTCTAGCTCTCACAGTATATGAGTATTACACTGTGCAGTTTTCCTGTGTGGAGTGTGATTAATGAAGTCCTTTCAAGGTAAGGAAAGAATAGTCATGAGAGTTGTGTGGGCTTGTGTGCTGTTGCACTAGGAACTTGATGAGCCTTTTCAGATAAAATGAAAAGGTCTCCCCTGCACCTGCCCCCAGCTGGAACCTGCTGAGCTTAAAACTAATAGCACGTGTTTGAGGATGACAGCCAGGAGTCTGGTCCAAGAATTGTCATCGGGCTCTTATCAGTTAAATAGCAGATAGGTGGTTCCATAGATGGCTCTGTGAGTTCATATGCCTGGCTTCATACAGGCTGTTCAGAAAAGGGAAGATTTAAACACTAAGTCACAGACGAGCTGCCACTGGGAAATTTTTTAGATAGAGTATATTTACTCATGACTGTGATGTTCAAGAAAATGTGGTTGCATAAAAGCTATTTTGAATTTAAAAACAGAAACAAGAAAACATAGATGTTGCTACAATTGAATAAGAAGTATTTTCCAGGCCCTGTGTGAACAAAGAATGGGAACAGTCTTCTCATGCTGGGCGTCTGGAGTGAACCAGTGGAGCCTTGCAGATACTGACTCCAGTCACTCTAGAATTAATAGTATTGTGTTTTCACATTTCTAATTCAAAATGATCACCGTCTTCCCAGAAACATGCCCTTTGATGGAAGCAAAAAAGAGGATATATCAGGGAGTCAGGAAAAATAGCCACACTCCTCATCCTCCCCTGTATCTGAATTTTCAGACGCTTGGCATTCCTCATCATTTTATGATCTGCTCATTGAGGAAACCCTCAGCTAACTATTTTCCTCTCGGGTATTGTTCCCATGAACATTTCCTTTCTTTAGGTCACATAACTAAGGATTTGCACCAAGTATGAAAACTGGTCCTATGCCAGGGTCTTGTAGGCCCAGCTTCCCTAGCTGGTCTCCCATTGGCTCTGCCTTCTTTTCTGACTGGCAGTTGGTTGTTGTCAGCCTGTCACAGAGGCATCCAGTTAGTCTTAGAGAAGCCAGCAGCTCCACACAATCAAATCTAAAATGTCTAACTTAGAAACGTAGCTAAGTCCAGCTCATGAAAACAGGCCCATTTGTACTGTTCATCTTTGGTCAGAAAAAAGTCCCAAGTAAGCCCACTGTTCTGAAAGCATAGAGAGCAGCTGGCTCCACTCATAAATTTGAACTCAGTGCAGTGAACAATTGCTGGGTTTCCCAGTGTTTGAAAATTACCACAGAGATTTTAAATTATTCAGTGATAGTCTTGAGCAGTTTTGTTTCTCAGTAGTAGCACATAATAGATGCTCAATATACATTTGCTCCACGATTTGTTAGTAAAGACTTTTTTTTTTTTTTTTTTTTTTTTTTTGCGGTACGGGGGCCTCTCACTGTTGTGGCCTCTCCCGTTGCGGAGCACAGGCTCTGGACGCGCAGGCTTAGCGGCCATGGCTCACGGGCCCAGCCGCTCTGCGGCATGTGGGATCTTCCCGGACCGGGGCACGAACCCGTATCCCCTGCGTTGGCAGGCGGACTCTCAACCACTGCGCCACCAGGGAGGCCCCAGTAAAGACTTTTGACTAGCCATAACTAGAATCTGTTTCTGTTTAGCATGTAAAACAATCACCTAGAAAAGATGGGATCAGCCTTTGTCCACTGTTGTCAACATGGCTTCCTGCATTCTCCCTCCATTCACCATTTATTCGTCCAGGAGAGTATAGACTGGCACACTGAGTCAGGCCTGAGCGATGGGGGCCTGCTTCATTCACTCAGCCAACGTTGTTGAGCATCTGCTATATGCCAGACACAGTGCAGGTTGCTAGAACTATCACCCATTCATGAGCCACTGTGTCAATTTGTACTTTGTAGAAACCCCACTTGCAGAGCCAGACTAAGCAAAAGCCTTCTGGAAGCTCATGGCTAAGAAACCTGACTTTCACGCATTTGCCTTTAGACCACTGGCTCCAAGAAGTGGGTGGTATAGCAAAAGTTAGTCATTAACTTACCTATGAGAACAAGCAGAAACCTTGCAGAGGAGTTTATACTCAATGGGATTTAAGCTAGAAAAAACTAGCAGTAGAGTTTGCTGTGTGGACCATACTGTGGACAGGTGCCTTGAGGACGCTAAGGTAAGTTAGCTTTGTACATTAGGTGCTGGCTCCTTTCCTGTAGGAATTCACAGTCAGCAAGACAGGACAGGAAGCATCTTCACTACCACATTGTCAAGTTGGGGAAGGGGGGGGTTTTCAGGCTTGGTGTTTGCTGAACAAAGCCTCTTAAAGAGTAGTTACAGAAAACAAGGGATTTTAGAAAGTGGTGGGTCTGTTGTTGGGGAACCCAGATTTAGACAGAGAATACTGAAAAATGCAGAAGAATAAATAGCAGAGATCACAGAAAAGGGGATGAGGGAGCGAGGAGAAAGGGCAAGTGCAGAGGCAACGCTGAGACTACAGGGCAGTCGGCCTCGTTCCCCCAAGGCCCCGTCTAATACAGTGTTCATCCCTCGCTTCCTTCTTTCCTTTCTTTCTTCCTAAAATGCCGTGGAATGCTCACCATGTGCTAGTCATTATGTCAGGTGCTGGGAATACATTGGGGAACATAACAGACATAGTCCCTGCTCTTAGAGAACTTATAGTTTTAGATGTGAGGCACACATTAAACAAATAAATATATAATTACGAATTGTTATAAATATTGTGGAGACAAAGAACAGGGGGGAGAGAGAGAGAGAATAACAGGGAGGGGATCTCATTTGGATGGGAAGGTGGGACTGACCCGAAGCCTGAAGGAGGTTGTCGTTGAGAAGAATGTTCCAGGCAAAGGGAGTGGCAGGTGTGTCCAGCACAGGACTGCAGCTGGTGAGAGAAGCACGTGCTAAGGTGAGGGGTACTGGGCCTGGTGGCTGAGGGGCCTGGTAGGCAACAACAGAGATACAGGGTTCTTTCTGAAAGGCATTGGAACACGTTAAGGGTGTTTAAACAGGGGCCATGCATGGTCTGACTTACATTTGTAAGAGTCTGTGACCGTGCTGCACTGTTCAGTTGTGGCCCTTGAATTGCAGGGTCCAGGGAAAGTTCGGCAGCAGGCCCACCCGTCAGTGCCCTGCCGGGCAGCCTGTCCTGCCGGCCTGTGAGCACTGTGAGCACCCATCTCTCCTCCCCTCCCACCCCCGGGCGCCCTCATTTGCCCGCTCACAGGGCTCCTGTTCGGCAGCAGCTCATGCTGTTTCCAGTCACCCTCTGAAGCTGACAAGGCCTCTGCCCTGTGGGGTCTGGGCTTTCATTTAAAAGCACTGATTTATTCACCATCCCTATCTGTAGGGCTGCTGGGGGAAGAAAATGATTTCAACAGCTGAGGAAATTCGAAGGCACCCTTAGCTCTCAGGTGACCCAGTACCTGTGACTGTCCATCATGAAAGACCAGAGGGCCTGGGAAATGCTGAATATGACCTTGCTTTGAATTGCCTCATGGCATTCCTGAAGCCTGGATAAAAGGTGCTTTGGGAGCTGTGGAGACCTTGATTCTCTCATCATTATAAGGGTGGTCTCTGGTGTCCCAGGTGCTCATGGGGTGTGATTAATCTGGTGTTCTACCAGTAGCCTTTGTTCACTGGCTTTACTTTTTTTTTTTTTGTAGTTTATTTTATTATTGTTATTTTTTTATATCTTTATTGGAGTATAATTGCTTTACAATGGTGTGTTAGTTTCTGCTTTATAACAAAGTGAATCAGTTATACATATACATATGTTCCCATATCTCTTCCCTCTTGCATCTCCCTCCCTCCCACCTTCCCTATCCCACCCCTCTAGGTGGTCACAGAGCACCGAGCTGATCTCCCTGTGCTATGCGGCTGCTTCCCATTAGCTATCTGCCTTACATTTGGTAATGTATATGTGTCCATGCCTCTCTCTAGCTTTGTCACTGGCTTTACTTTCATTTCAGGGAAATATCGAGCAGCAGACGAAGAAAAAATTAATCCACCTCCTTACTTAACTTGTGACAGCTTCCCTCATGCTGTGGACCACATTCTGCAGCATCTACTGTGAACCATTATGTGAATCAGAAGCAACTTGAAACGCAGCTTTTCATTGTCTGGAAAGAATCCCTCAACAACTTAATGCCAGTGCCACTTAATGACAGACAGAGACCACTCAGCCCTGGTCACCATTTAACCCTCTTGTTGGGCAGTAATTAGAAAGAAAGGTATTGAATTGCAGCCAGACACCAAGCCTGGCTAATCCCTTTTGTCTTTTTTCCGTAAAAGAAGATGAGATCCAAAGAAAGGGAAAGCTGAGATTTTGTGCCATTCCTTTTAAAATATTCATCAGGTTAGCGGCGCTGGGGAAGAGTCTCCTGCAGGGAGCCTGTTCTCTGCTGTCTCCTCGCTGGTAAATTGGAGGGGTTCAGACTCTGAATAAAGTTGAATGGTGTTTTTTAAGTTATAAAGTATTGCATTGAAGAGAGCATTAGGCTGTAGTTTTAATATTGAGTTCAACTGTGAAATCCATCAGAAGTGCCAAGTAGGGTACAGGGCAGAAGAAGCAGAATAAAGTGTCCTTTAGCCCAAGTGAAGGAGTGAATTTGCTTTAACAGATGTTGAAAACTAGATTAGCTACTGTATTATTCCCAGCACGGGTGACTTCTTTTTCTCTTCGTTAGCCAGAGATGAGTAATTTAAATTTAGAACCTGGTTTTAATTTAAAATAATATTTCCATTAATAACCTATTCATTGCAGATACCTATTATACTGTGTAACAGTTGTTTTGGAAATTTTATGTAAAATTAAAACTATCAGTATTTTACAGATGTTTTAATTAGACATTGTTATTAACAGGAACAGTGCAGAAACTGAAATCAAGCCTTTAATGTCTTATAGACCAGGCATTTTTGAGGCTAGTGTCCACCCGGGTCCTATTAACTGTACATTTGCAAGATTTCATTATTTTTGCCTCTGACACTATGGGAAAAATCTTTCAGAAGCTATTGGGACAGATTCAAGCTTTTATGTACTTGGTTACTAGGGCTGTAAAATGAAATCTCGTCTTGCAGCATGGATTCTTCTTCTCATGTTAAACCCACCAAAATGAAGGGGACTAAATAGGTAATGATTTTCTTAGTGCATTTGCATACTGTGATGATCCTGGGCCTTTGCAATTGTTTTACTGGGCTCTTGGGCACTGGATTATTAGCTTGTAATTGTCCATTATCGTGGTGCTCACCTTACTGAAGCGCACAGCAATGTGTTAATGAGCTCTGGGTTTTGATGCTTGTTTAGAGATCAGCTTGGTCTTGGATGGGAGGGAGTAAAGCTAAATAAATGGCCGCTTCCTCTCCTTCTGGTCGTTTGGTGAACACTTTTCTTGTTTTTGCAGATGCCCCAACCTAGTCCTTACGATCCTAGAGTGCAGAAGACAGATGTGCTAGGGCACCACCCCAGATCAGGAGGAGGAGTGCAGTGACTGGGGCACAGAGCAGGGAGCCTGGCCAGCACTTCCCTTCGGTGACCTGGGGCAACTCCCCTAGCCACTCCTGCATCCTTTGCCTTCTCTGTAAAGTGGAGATACGCCACCACGTAGGTTTGTTGTGAGGGTTAAATGCACAACCCGCATATCAAGGACTTTAAATAGAATCGGACGAATGTTAAGTGTTGCCTGTTTGGATGATGACACAGATGTAGCAGGAGTATCTGCATTTAACAATCCGGAAAAGGTTGGTAGAATTCATCTCTACCGTCAGTTCAGTGGGGAAAGTCTTCCTGAGAATTAAAAAAGAGAGACATTTAAATTCCTTCAGGCCGGAGCCACACAGAAAAGCCCAGCGTGCAGGCAATAGGGGCTGCTGGGCGTGTTCACCAGTGGCCTGTTCCCCGGCACCTGGGTCACTGATTCCTTGGCCCAGGCGTTATCAAGGGTTTGCTAGCTTCTGTGTGCGAAGTGCCTGCTAGGAAATAAACATTGAAGAGAAGGATTTTGCCTGGAGGGCCCTTACTAGGTGAGGAGCTAAGGAGAATACCTAAGGCAGTGTGCAGACTCTGTGTCTCCCTTCTCTGTGACGTGGTCCTGACCACAGGATGGAGTGAAGTGTTCCCTCCTTCGTGCCATGGAGCAGTTGTTAGATTGTACTTAGGTCTTCAAACGTCTCTTCTCCCCACCAGACAGGACTCTGTGCTACAACACAGATGGGCACTCAGGCCGTCACCAGACAACTCAAAATTAGCTGTAAATATTATAGGAATTGAATGCTAGAGGATATAGCTATGGGTAGGGAGGAGAAAATGTTTCATTTTAGACTTGCTGCTCATAGGGGAGGCCCGTTAGGCACTTAAATAATGGCTCTGATGCTCTGGAGACACGTTAGAGCTAAAGCCAAGCTGTAGACATCACTGATGGGCGAGTGGCAGGAGGGGGTAATCCCGCTGCGTGTAACGAGCCAGCCAAGAGAAACGGCTGCTCTACTTTCCTCAGTTCTCGCTTGGCCCTCTAGGCCATTAAAATCTTGGCTATTTTATTTACATAATAAACATTATATAGGACTTTCTAACTGACCTGTCCACGGTATGAAGTTCGTGAGGATAAATAGAAATCTTGGTTTAGGTCGAGGTTACTGTAAACATTCCCAGCTCAGCTGGTTGGTTTGCCTTGGGCCTCATGGAGGAGATTGAATAACCGAAGTACGTAAAGGACTTTATTTTCCAGCCATTACATTTCAGGGGCTGTCTTGTGGTGCTGACCCCAAGGATAGTGTTGGTGCCAGCTTTACTATAATCCTGTCCTGGCCCCAGAAAAGGGACCAAGTGACATCTTAGGACTTGAAAGGGCATTAGAGAATGCCCATTGTCAGGAGGCGGTTATTGGGCATCTCCTGTGAGCTGGGCGTGGAGGAGGGCGAAGGACCAGTCTGGTGGGGAGACAAGGTTGTTGCACCCACTTCACTCTCACACGTCCAGAATCAGCTAGTTCTGCAGTGGCTCTACCTACCCACCACTCTACCCGAGCGGAGCGGATTGTAATGCCTGGAAAGGAGAAGGGGGCTGGCCCACCTCCCTAGTGACGGTTCCATCAAACACCTGCGGTTGTGGGTATCAGAAACTGCCCTGGAGTGACTGTCATCACCTCACTCTTAACCCCACACTGAAAAATTACAGGAGCGAGTTGGACAGGAAAGTCAAAACACAACCGCACTATGTTCAGTTGGTTTTGGATCGGTGGTGGTTCATGTTGTATGAAACTGAAGCACCTATAATAAAGAATTTTTAAAACTGCACTAATCTATTTCATTAAAACACTTGCCTTGGGCAGCAGAGTACTTCGTCCTGTTAGCAGTTGTTTGCATAGAGCCATGTTTGCGTTATTGAGTTTCTTTGACATAAGTCAAAAAGGCCTTTCCCGCGTAAATGCACAGGGCCTTTGCTGAGCTGACTTTGTGTTACACCAGCCATCAAGACCTACTACCCAAAGCATGCTGCTGTCCTTGAGAGGCGAGGTGCCAGCGCACCAGAAATCGTTTATCATAATTCAAACCGCATCTGTTAAGATGAAACAGATTTTGATATCTTTTTCCTGTGTTTAATGTCATACACATCTCAATGCCTGTTTGTTTCACTGGCTGATGTGCCTGAGAAAACCAAATATTTTATTTTAAATTATTTATGTATTTATCTTTGGCTGTGTTGGGTCTTCATTGCTGCGCACAGGCTTTTCTCTAGTTGCGGCAAGCGGGGGCTACTCTTCGTTTTGGTGCGCGGGCTTCTCATTGCAGTGGCTCCTCTTGTCGCAGAGCACGGGCTTTAGACGCACGGGCTTCAGTAGCTGTGGTGCCCGGGCTCAGTAGTTGTGGCTCACGGGCTTAGTTGCTCCACGGCATGTGGGATCTTCCCGGACCAGGGCTTGAACCTGTGTCCCCTGCATTGGCAGGCAGATTCTTAACCACTGCGCCACCAGGGAAGTCTCCCAAATATTTTTAAATGCCCTTGGGAGTAAATCACTAAGGAAGACAGCAGAACGTAGCTCCAACTCCTAGATACGTATCTTCTAGTTGGGAAACTGAGCTATCTTCAGCTAGTTCTGGCCTCTCCAGTTCGCCACAGTCCCCCACCTCTTCCTTGTCTTCCTTTACCCATGTGTAACTATATTCCAAGTTCCTATAGCATTTGAGTTATGACCTCTGCTTTAGAAGAAAATACCACATGTGGAATTAGGTTCAAATTTCCACCAACAACTAACGGGCCAATCTCCTATATCCCTATAAACTTAGATATACTTTTAGTCTACTTTTAAAAAAATAACAGAGACACTAAACAGTAGATTAGTCATGTATTAGTTGATCTCTCTCAAAGCCCCACTAAAAGAAGAGGAAAGGAATAAAGATGTTATAAACCAACAAGGACAACCCACAAGAGAATGGTAGAGGAGACAGCAGTGGATGACAGGCTTCAGGCTTCGGGAGATGGAAAGAGGATGATGGAGTGTTGATAACTAAAATCAACGCAAAGGAAAAAACCAAGATTCATCCTGTAGATTATCACCTCAAAGACTCAAGGCTTGGAGACACTGGGTAGAGTGGTTGTGAGGTGTGAGGCAAGGTTGAGAAGCAAGGAATTGGTTCAAAGCTGGGAAAGTGGCTGGAGCCCCAGAAACCCTCCCCACCCTGAGCAGCCAGGCAGGAGACGGGGCGGGGGTTACGCTCTGGAGAAGTGGAACTATGAACGTTCAGGCCTTGGAGACACTGGACATGGCGGTGGGCCAGGCTGAGAGGCAGGGCTGAAAACGGGATTAGGGAAATCTCTGCCTGTTCTACAGCCATTGTCTGGTCCCCTTCCCCTTACAACCAGGACCAGATAGCGTGGGAATGGAGTTGAAAGTTAATCTGATATGTTTGGCCATTTAGAAGACAATACTGATGGATATCGGACAGATATGAAAATGTTGCCCAAAAAATTAAGAATAAATACTTAGAAAATTAAGCAAATGAAAAAAATGAGGCAGTTATTAATTCCAAGAAAGACAAAACTCAACAAGGAAATGTAATCCTAATCCACTAGTTGGCTCTTCATTAAACAATGTACAGTGAACAATATCATAAAAATATTGATTATTGAGTTAACCTAAAACTGTAGTAAAACTGTTTGGGGATGATTAGGGAAAGACGTGTGTGGTAGGGATGGGGCAAAGGGCTGAAAAGGCTATATTTCATTTCATCCAAAGCAGGAAGTCATTAGATAATGTATAAAACTGATAAGAAGCCACCAAAATAAAGGCATGACCTAAAAGCATATGTGCGTGATCATTTGTAGACAAACTTTCCAAGGAATGAGGAGAGAAGGATGGACTACGTGACTGAATGTACAAAGATGAACTTGGAGATTCTTAAAAGGAATGGAGGGAGGATGTGGAGGTGGGTTTTGGAAGTGGAAGGTTACCGGTATGTGCTGGGAGGGATGGCCAACCACACTTACCTGAACGGAATCAGGAACTCCAGAGCAGTAAGCTAAAAGGGCCCAACCCTATTGTCACAAAGCATGCTGTCCACGGGAGCCCTCCTCTGCCCCTCTGCCTGTTCATTCTTAGGTACACATACAGTGCACACTTAACCTGCTTTCCAACCACAGCAAATTAGCTATTATTGAGGTTCCATCCACTTGAGATTTTATGAAATCAGAAAGGGTGGCAAAGGCCACAAGCAAATGGACTAACAGCTATAAGAAATGTCAGCTGACAGCCTGACAAAATAACCCAAAAGCACAGACGGCAGATGTTGGAAATTGAACAGCACAGCAGTCTAGGCCATTGAGCTTAGAGACCTCCATGTCTGCATGTCGGCAGTGCTCACAGGGTACTACTACCTAGTGACCATGAAGTTTCAGCTGAGCTTCTACTAAGATGAAATGTCTTTTTGTTTCTTTTAAACTCATTCAATTTGACTGCATTTTCCATAAAATGATATTTTAAGAGGCATTTGAGAATACTCTATTCAAAACAATCAAAACCCCAAATGTTTTTGTTTAAAAGGGTGAAATACTTTGGACTATTTAGCCCAAATGTCCCTTTTCCTGGAAGTGTTTTCTTCTCTGGAGGAGTCTGCCTTGCAGGGATGAAGAAAACAAGGCAAGGGAGACAACAAAAGGTGACCATAGGAAAATTCTAAGCGGGGGAAGGGGTGGCATTACTTAGTGGAAGCCTTCAAAATTTACCAGGAGTTGAAAGTAGATGCCTCAGATTGTGGGTTTCTGAATGAGATGTTTCTAGCTGTTTCCAACCCCGTAAGGAGATGTGGAGGAGCCTAAGCGCAGGGAAGACTGTTCTAGAAGCTCAGGTACCCCATCCTAAGTTTTGGATCCAATGAGGAGCTGTGGCAATGGAAAGAGAAGGGCAGAATACACAGGATGTGAGATGTGAAGATGTTACTAGGGGCCAGAACTCAAAACACTGCAACTGGTAGGTAGTAATAGTGGGGTGCTTGTTACCACTGCTATTAGCTCATCTCCAGAGATGGGCCAGTGATATTCCTGAGTGGGGCTAGTCTGGTGGGGTTTGCTCTGCTGATAAAACTGGAGTCAGAATCAGGGAGAGCAGATGAGATTCAGAATATTGTCAAGAGAAGCAGATGCTGTTTCTCTTCCTTGCTCCCACCCTTATCCACCCTTGAACTGTCAGCTGTCAGATGGTCTGTCAAGCTTAGCTTCTGATTGGCTCCCCAACTTAGAACCACCCTCTGCATCCCAACACAACTTTCCTTACCACATCTTTTTCAAAATGAAAATGCCAGGGCTTCCCTGGTGTCACAGTGGTTGAGAATCTGCCATCTAATGCAGGGGACACGGGTTCGAGCCCTGGTCTGGGAGGATCCCACATGCCGCGAAGCAACTAGGCCCGTGAGCCACAACTACTGAGCCTACGCGTCTGGAGCCTGTGCTTCACGACAAGAGAGGCCCCAATAGTAAGAGGCCCATGCACCGTGATGAAGAGTGGCCCCCGCTTGCCGCAACTGGAGAAAGCCCTCGCACAGAAACGAAGACCCAACACAGCCAAGAATTAATTAATTAATTAAGAAAAAAGGCTGCAATAGTAAGAGGCCCATGCACCACTATGAAGAGTGGCCCCCGCTTGCCACAACTAGAGAAAGCCCTCGCACAGAAACGAAGACCCAACACAGCAAAAATAATAAACTCCTACCCCCAACATCTTTAAAAAAAAAAAATGAAAATGCCAGTTCACAAATGAGGAACACTACAAGAAATTATTCATCTAAATTTTATGGGATCTCGTGAGAAAAGTCTCCGTTGCAAGACCTCATAGCACACATACCTGTAATTGGAATCTTCAATATTTTGCTGACATCGACCATGAAAATACATATTTCCAAAATGGTACAGTTGTCCAAATTAATCCAGTCTTCAAGAATAATTTTCTGTTTTCTATTCCAAGCATAATATTCTTCTTTCACTTACACTAATTAATGAGGAGGCCTCTGTAGTTGTCTTTGTGGCCAAGTCAGGGTAAATGTGATTTCACACAGACTCGAATTCACTTTGCCAGGCTGAGTATCTCTGAGTCAGATTTTTTGCTGAAGGCTTGGTGTGGGCCAGCACATCCAAAAAGTCAGCAGTGGTCACTGTATCCAGCTGGATCCCAGGTAAACTGCTGCTCTCTAGATAAAAACACAAGAAGAACAGCACAACAGTCTACCTAATGGTGATCAATGCTCTTGAAACATTAATAGACCTTCTTTCAAGACAATGCACAATGCAGCATTCTTAATGGTTAATGCAGCAACAGGCAAGACTAAAGAGGGCTGGGGAAAAAAGTCTTTAATGTGCAACTCAGCCCCTGAAGCCCATACACAAAATGTGACTTAAATGTATCATTATAAAGTGTTATTTAATATTTATATAGTGCCACAAATGGATCCAGCCCAACATAGTGTGCCAGGGCAATAAAAGCCCGAGCCCTAAGGAGTTTATCATCTGGGGGCAAAGTTGATCCGAAACAGAACAGCAGAGGAGGAAGGAGCTGGGTGCAGAAGGAGGATTTTTGACCAAAGAATGAGTGCCAGTGTAACAAGCCACAGAGAACAAGGGCAAGGTGCCACCTGCTGGTGAAAGACCAATTTTTAAAAACAAATTTCTCTCCCAGAGCACCTTGGCTGTCATCCTCACCATACCTGACTGCTGATTTTCAAGGGCATTGAAGATCTTCCTCACAGGCCGCATGGCTGCTTCCCTGCAGACTAGCTTGATGTCCGAGCCCGAGTAGCCCTCCATCTCCTGAAACAGCCGCAAACCCAGCCATTAGGCAGCAGGCAGAATGCTGGTGGTGGTTACATTCTTACAGGCAGGACAGGGGGTCAGAGCCCCTGTTTGGATTCTGTATCCGTCACCCATGGACACTATGTAAAGATTCCCAGATACATAGTGTTTAGGGGGAGAGAGGCTGCTAATGTGTTTGGATAACCTAAGGATCTGGGCCACAAACAACTTCCTAACACCATCCAAACGTAGGTGGTGAGATGCTGGTGACGACTGGCCCACCCAAGCCAGCCTAATGGGGCCCTTGTGCGCAAATTCAAGGATGGCAAAATTTGGTAGACACTTCTGTTCTCGTAAATAGGATTATAACCTGCCTTTAAGGAACCTCAGAGAACATCACATTCAAGTGTCCTCTCAAGGAGGCAATGACACCAGTGGGCATGGGGGTAACATGCTTTTCCTTTTGTGAAAGACTTGCATTTAATCATCACAGCAATCCTCTACGGCCTGTTACCCATTTTACAGATGAAGAAGCTGAGGCTCAAAGAGGAAGTGACTTCCTTGATGGCACACAGTTAATAAGTGGCAGGGCCAGAATCTGACCGTAGGTCCTCTGAGTCTAAACCCTATTCCACTTTATCACATCTCTGCTTGAATGTTCCCGAGGGACAAAGAGCTTGGTCTTTCATGAAGGAGAGGCCCGTTGTGCTTGTTGGGGCGGCTTGGATCTTTTCTAAGTGACTCGAGGCTCCGAACAGCTGAGAAGACGGTCACGGGGCGGCCCCTGGGCCTAGGCGCCTCCCCAGGCAGCTCACCCTGCTCAGCAGGCTGTAGTCCAGCTCCGCGCGCAGCTCCAGGGCACAGCTCCTGCTCACGGGCGGCAGCCAGTGGTGGATCATGGCCTGCCTGGCCTCCTGGCTTGGGAGGTCCACCAGAATCCTCTTCTCCAGGCGCCGCAACATGGCACAGTCTAGCTCCCTGAGTCACGTACAAAACACAGGAACTGGTTGGAGCAGTAACTCACTTCTTAAGCAACAACTATATTTGAAGAACAAATTTAGCAGGAACCAATCCTGCATCTTAACTGTTACTCTACATCTAAGTCTGAGTGGGTAGGACCATTACTTCATGTTGTTCGGGAGAAACAAATGGTTAAAAAGAAGAAAAAAAGAAAGGAGAGATAGGGAGGGAGGGAGGAAGGAAGAAAAAGAGAAAGGAAATATACATCCCCCAGATACCTCAAGTGAAGGAAGTAGTTTTAGGTGACTTAATTTGAGGGGAATAAATCCAGCTAACACCAACCAAACGTGAGCATTCCCACTGCAGTTGTAACATCAATTATTCAACCCGACCCTGCCAACGAGTACATTATTCCTGACATAACTTGGGCACTCTGGGAAGTACGCTAATTCTTCAAAAACTCTCATATATTCTGGAGGACTATCTCACTCCATTGCTCTGGTGAAGTAAAGTGCGAATGCTCCTTCCTGGGCGCCCAGTGCAAATGTGGCCCTTTGAAACACTCATTCCTGGCCTCCCAAAACACTGTCAGGCCAGGTTTATGCACTTTGCATCTGCAAGCCATTTCCTTATATTTCTTAATATAAAAATTTCAAGCAAATAGGAAAGTAGAATAAAACAACAAATATCCACATACCTACCATCTTGATTCAACAACAGTTAACATTTTGCCGTATCTGCTTCATACGCATTTATCTATTCTTGTTAAATTATTTCAATGTAAATTACATCATGAAACCCCACCTCCCAATGCTTCAGTATGCATTTCCCAAAAAAGGGACATTTCCTTATATAAGTATAATACCATTATGACACTAACAGAATTAACACAGATTGAATAATATGTCTAATGCCCATTCCACAGTAAAATCTCTCCAATCACCCCCAAAATATCTTTTACAGTTTTCCCAACCAACATTCAATCAAGGATTATGCACTACATATGATTATGTCTCTTAAATCTCTTGTAATCCAAAGCAGTCTCCTTGCCTTGGCCCCTTTTTGAATAGGTAAGGCTAGTTGTACGATGTCCCACATTCTGGATTCGTCTGATGTTTTCCTAATGGTATCAGGTAACTGGTTTCTGTATCCCCTGTCCTCCAAGATGGAAGTTAGACCTCAAAGCTTAATCAGAATCAGGATGAACATTTTTGGCAAGTATATTTCACAGATAATATGTTTTCGCATTCATTACATTGGAATCCAATGTTGGTGTGCCTCACTGCTAGTGATGGGATGTTTAATTACTGAGATCATCTGGTGACCACAGCTCTCTTCACTGGACGATCTCTCAGGCATCTCTTTGTAAGGAGTAAATATTCTACATACAGTACTTTAGCACCATGTGAACACCCCTTTCCCCATCCCTTTCAACTAGTGGTTTTAGCATCTGTTGATGATCTTTGAATCAACTGTTTCATGAGAGTGGTGCAAAATGGTGATTTAAAACTTTTTTCCATTCCAAATGATTATGTAGAATTATTATGTAAAGTAGAGCTTTCCCTCATTAACTGGGGCTCTTTGGTTACCTTGAGTTACCATTCCTATTAAAAACAGATCATTTTTGAGTGTGAGTTTGTGAACCCTTTTTATGTTAAAATTTCAAGCTCCTAGATGGGAGGGAAATATCTCTTTGATTTTCTAGCACAGAAATTAGGAAATGCCTGTGTGTTGGTCTGGCTTAGCCGATAATAAAGAGTAACAATGAAAAGCATCATCACCAGATTTTCTCACTCATAAAGATACCGAGAATTTCCAAAGCACCCTCCCTTTTTTCTTATTCTGAATCTATGTCATGATATTTCCTTTTAAATCGAAAACATGAAAATACCCTTCCAGGGAGCATATCTGAATCCTAAACTGGAGCAACCAGGTTTCTTAAAAGAGTGTGTCTTTTCTTTACCTATTATTCCTCCCGTCCTGAGCTGAGAATCCACTCCAGGGCTGCTTTCCCGGCAATAAAAAGTACCTATTTCTTTTTTGTATTTACTTTGTTCTTTATCAGCTTCACCCTGTTGAAATTCATCTCAGCAGAGAAAGCCACCTGCACAACCACGCCCCCTCTCAGGGCCAACATTTATATTCCAGACACAGGGTTGAGGGAACTTTGCAGAGCTCTAGGAAATTATTTTTTACGTTTGAAATATTAATAAAAGCTAGTGCTTAAATAGCACTCACCAGGTGGCAGGTACTGTCTCAAGCATTTTGCAGATATTAATTAATTCTCAGAACCTACCTATGAGGTAGGTAATATCTTTGTTTAAGATGAGGAAACTGAGGCATAGAGGTCGAGTAGCTTGCCTGAAGTCAAGGCTAGTGAATGGCGGCCCTGAACTTGAACCTGAACAGTGAGACTCTGGAGACTGTGCCTCAGTAACTGGCCTGATACTAGCACAGTAACAGCAGGGAGACCCCAAGTCACATCACGGTGAAATCTCAGAACCCTGAGAACGAACAAAGGATCATAAAAGCTTCCAGAGAGGAAAAACAGGTTGCATCCAATGAATGGAGAATAAGATTTCTCATCATCAATGTGAGATATTAAAAGAAAATAGAGCAATGCCTTCAAAATTCTGAGGAAAAATAATTTTTTATAACTTTACTTTTGGCTGCGTTGGGTCTCTGTTGCTGCGCGTGGGCTTTCTCTAGTTGCGGCGAGCAGGGGCTACTCTTCATTGCAGTGTGCAGGCTTCTTATTGCAGTGGCTTCTCTTGTTGCAAAGCACGGGCTCTGAGCACGCGGGCTTCAGCAGTTGTGGCACGTGGGCTCAGTAGTTGCAGTGTGCAGGTTCTAGGGCACGCAGGCTTCAGTAGTTGTGACACGCAGGCTCGGTAGTTGTGGCTCGTGGGCTCTAGAGCGCAGGCTCAGTAGTTGTGGCGCACGGGCTTAGTTGCTCCGTGACACGTGGGATCTTCCTGGACCAGGGATTGAACCCGTGTCCCCTGCATTGGCAGGTGCATTCTTAAGCACTGTGCCACCAGGGAAGTCCAGGAAAAATAATTTCCAGTGTAGAAATCTGTATCTTGATCAAACCATCAATTAAGTGGGAGGATAGAATAAAGACATTTTCAATATGCAGAGCCTAAAAAATATTACCTCCCAGGTACCCTTTATCGGGAAAGTACTGGAGGACCAAAGGGAGGGAGAAACCAAACCAAAGGGCCACATGGGCTCCAAGAAACGGAGGGTCTGACACAGAGAGAGAAGGAAACCTCCAGGATGACGCAGGGGGTGCCTAGGGTGCAGAGGACAATCCGCTCATTTTGGAGAAGGAGAGAAGGCTCTGGAAGATGTGCCTCCAAGAAGATAAACTTGACTGAATACCTGGTATGTCTGAGTAAATCCAGAGCTGTTTTAGACAGTTAGCAGAGAGATGGGCCTCGATTAGTGGCAGGAGGAGGTGAGTGAGGGGGGACGAAAGGAGGGGGGTCAGGGAGATATAGAGAAGAGACACCATTAGACTCACATTTAGGAATTCGGTCCAGCAACACTGCCCACCCGCCAAGTGTATTGTCACTGCTGAGTCTCCGATACACAGAAGTGAATATGACAAACTCCTTACTTCAATGTAAATAATAGGCAATAACTGGGAGGTTTGGGCCTTGGACTGCAGGAATGTTGGTCCTGTAAACTTTAAAAATGAAATAAGACTTGGGAACCTGAAGCTAAAACCAGGAAGGAAGAGAGAATAAGCTGGGGAAATGGCAGTGCTGGGTTGATGAGCAGTTGCCGTATTTCCCCCAAGGCCTTTCCTTGGACCAGCTGCCCCTCCTGAAAGCGCAGGGGCTGCAGAAGGAAGGCTCTTTGGTGGGAGCACCTCTGGTCTCTTCATCCCAGCCAGGGGGACTGCTTATTGAAAGGAAGACCAGATCCCCAAATGCCCTAGGAAAATGCAGGCAGGCAGAGGGAGGTGGGAAAACAATCCCTCACTATAGATGACTGTATGGATCAGCTAATGCCCTAAAGCAAGAGATTTACCTCAAAACTGCTTGTGGCACAAAGTAAGTGCAACTCTCTGACAGCCAGGCCTGATTAATGCACTTTTAATGACATCAATAATTATAATCATACAAGGGAGGAAACAAAGGACAAATGGAATTTACCCAGGAACCATTCTTTAAGTCAATATATTTATGTGAAAAAATTTAACCTGCGGCAACCAGAAAACACTCCCTTTAGCTGCTACATTTTGATTTTCACACCCAAGTTAGTCTGTTCTCACATCTCCTTCATCTTGGTCATTTGGTACTTCCATCACCTCGAAGGTCAAAAGCAACCAGCAAGAGTGACTGTGACACAGTGACGGCTCACAGACCTCACAGCCTGGCCACTGGACCGGTGCCCGCTGCTATATACAAGGTGGCAGCGCCCACTGGTCACCTAGACAGCTTGCATGGGCCACGCGGCCTTGCACCTGAGCACCTGGGCTCCCGCGCCAAATCTTCGGGGCCCTTCCTCAGCCCCTGGCCTGTCTCCGCTGTTAAACCATGTTGTTCCTGGGATAATGATCATTCCAAATTTTACAGAATTTGGAAATCAAACATAATTCTAGTGTGTTCATTCCATAGTGAAAACATTAAGTTCAAATCATCTCAGTGTGACAAGAGAAAAGCAACCTTCAGTTTTGTAGGCAAAGTCTTTGCAGTATGTCCCTAACCAACGTGAAGTCAGAGATCGTGGCAATCTTTGAAAAGCAGATTCAGGAATTGTATTCTTTGGTAGATGACAGGGAGTCAATGAATAAAGCACTAAAGTTTACTTTGTCTCCTGCACTGAGCTCTGTGTAAGTTGACTCCTACCTACACTTCCCACTTGGGCCAAACTGCTCTGTCGGCCGTTATCTGAATCTACATTTTGCCATCCTAGTTGAGCATGTACTCAGGTCATTTTCTTTACTTGGAACTTCCAGTTGGTCTACCAAGAGCCAGGTCCTTTTCACAGGTCCAGTGCAAGTGCTC